TCTAAGCTAAAATGTACTGAATGATAGAGAAATGGAAACTAAAGTCTTTAGTATTAATTTAAAGAGGGCAGGCCAATAGTTTAAGCTTAAAATCCTGGAAGTTACAAGCATTTGAAAGCCACCTACCATTTGTATTGGTGTCACATTCCTTTTACAATTATGTTCTAGGCTTGAGAAAGTTGGTGATACTTCAACATTGCATAATTTATACCAAAGGGTATATTTGATATTGTAAAATTTTGTTCCAAAGGGGACAAAAGAATGAGGAAAACTGGCAGTTTTCACGTGCTTACTCTATCTCTTGCATGGTACTGATGTCATTTACTTCAAGGCACCGCTGCCCAGTGGCTATAAGCTTGGACTCCTGAGCCAGACTGCCTGGGTTTGAAATCTGCAACTTTCCAGATGTATGAACTTGAAAACGTCAACATAGTGCCTTAGTTTTCTCATCTATAAAATGGAAGTAATAACACTGCTTACTTTATAGGGTCTTCTGAACATCCTGTAAGTGGGTTCATACATGTTGAGAACTTAGAAAAACATATACACAATAAGCTCCCAATAAATGTTAGCTATTATTACCAGATAGTTCGTTTATTTCCCATGGCTATCCTCAGGCTATATGTGTCTTTTAGCCCTTTTCAATAAGGCTTATTAAAATTTTGATTCAATGTATCATGTAAAGAAACACTTATTTGTAGATTTGCAAATCATTCTCCAAAATTTAAATCATTGAGTTGGTTTGTCTGAACATTGGCTAAAATAAATCTAAATATACCATGATAATCACTATACATATAATTTTGAATCACATTCATTGTAGTCTTCTAATATAAGCTATAAATAATGGCAATAAATACAAGTTAGGTTTGAAATAATTAATTGAAATGTAGACAAATGTGAGACATATATACAAATATAAATGATATATATATACAAGTATACATACAAATTACACTGCTCAAGTAAATAGACCTTTATTTGTTCATTTATTTGTGATTGTCATAGCCCCAATTGCCTTGAAGAGGTATGGGTCCACTTGGTTGGAGGTTCGTTTATAAAGGTGAGCACCTTTAGGATTGAGCAGGGACCAGGAAGGAGTTGAAATCTTCATAATAAAAGGAGGATACAGGGCCGGCCCCGTGGCTTAGTGGTTAAGCGTGCGTGCTCAGCTACTGGCAGCCTGGGTTCGGATCCCGGGCATGCACCAACGCACTGCTTTTCCGGCCATGCTGAGGCCACGTCCCACATACAGCAACTAGAAGGATGTGCAACTATGACATACAACTATCTACTGAGGCTTTGGGGGAAAAAAAAAAGGAGGAGGATTGGCAATAGATGTTAGCTCAGAGCTGGTCTTCCTCAGCAAAAAGAGGAGGATTAGCATGGATGTTAGCTCAGGGCTGATCTTCCTCACACACACACACAAAAAAAAAACGAAAAAAAAAGGAGGATACAGTATTTGGACTTTTTGGAGGAAAGGATGGGAAGGAGGAGAATAAATGGACAGGAGAAGGAAAAAAAATAAACTGGAGAGCAAAAAAAGAGGTTGTAAAAAGCCTTTCATTCTGCAATGTGATCCTCTCCATGATCCTAATACATTATTAAATTCTATTTTTTTTTTTTTTTTTGTAAGGAAGATCAGCCCTGAGCCAACATCCATGCCAATCCTCCTATTTTTGCTGAGGAAGACTGACCCTGAGCCAACATCTATGCCGATCTTCCTTCACTTTATATGGGACGCTGCCACAGCATGGCTGGAGAAGCGGTGCATTGGTACGCGACCAGGATCCCAACCCGGACTGCCAGCAGTGGAGTGTGCACACTCAACCGCCACGCCACGGGGCAGGCCTTGTTAAATTCTATTTTAATTCTTGTGTTTTTAATTAAGATTTGTATTAAAGCAAGCAAAATTGCCTCTGGGTAATTCAATTGGAAAAAGATACTCTTGAAACACTTTTTGATAGTTTACAGAATCTCTGGGAAGTCTGAAGAAACTAGCTCAGAAAATAGGTAGAAACAAATGGAAGCTGAAAAGATAGAATCACAACCAAAGCACACTATAGAATCCAGTCCATCAACTGCTGCTTCCATAGACTGCCAAATGCTGCTGTCATGCACGTGGCTGTCATCACTGGTCCAGGGGACTGGATGCTGGTGCTGGCATTGCTGACAACGCTGGGCCTGCAGCTAGGTGTTACTACCACCACTTGTAAAATAAATGAATTCTCCACTGCCTCTATTCCTTTGTGCTACTCACACCATGGGTAGACACAATTGACTGGGCAAACCTATAGTTTACACATACCATACTTTAGCCATCAGAAATGCTAGAAAAACTAGTAGATGGGAATTAAGCTCTTCACCAAACAAAGGAAAGAGGTCATATCCTGGGCAATATGTAGATATGTCTGTTAGACCTTTTTGACATTGAGTTAATTTTGTTGAATACCCTTGGAAAGAGAATGATGTAAGTGAAATGGAGTTTTCCAGAGACAAATGTGACCAGGAAAATGTACACCCTCCTGGGAATCTGTGAAAATTTTGGAAAGGACTTTCGATACACCCAGATAGCAAAATGGAGGGTTCAAAGTAATTCACTAGATAGCAAGGGGCAGAGAGGGCCTTATTAATACTTGGTATACATAGGGAGGTAAGCCGCAGGTTTCATCAACAAGCTGGAATCTGTAAGGTGCAAGCAGGTTACGTTATTTGTTTGAATATCCTCCTACATGGATCTGCTCCCCTGTCTTTTGTATGAGTTTCAAGGTTTCCATATCTTTCCCATTAACTCCCAAATAATAAAAAGTCTATATAATATCACTATATTATCAAATCTTCCACTATAATATCAAATCTTCACACTCATCAAATATATATTTTCCCAGCTTGGACCTGCCGTAGGCCTGGAAGCCTGCATTGGGGGAAGGGGATTATGGAGGGTTCCTCTCCTATTTCTTCACTCTACCTCCTTTGCCTCAGTAGCTGCTGTTGTAGGCCCATCTGCATTGGAGCAGGCAGAGAATGAAGAAATAACAGTCACAAAATAAGTTTTACTATCTGACTTGTAATCTCACAGTAGTGCCCTCTGGGTATAACAGATTTTATATCCTGGTTCCTTCTCACAAAGGATGCTGTTGTGGGTCCCTTAGGGATATCTATCCTCAGTGACAATGTGAGACTGCTTCTGATCCCTTTGATGCTTTCTTTTCCTGGAAACCTAAGAATCCCTAGAGGCTGCTTCATTCCTTGAAAAAAGGCCCGGTTGGGCAAGGTCCTTTCCAAGACAGTTTGTAGCTGGCTCGCTTTTGTAGGGTCTCCATGTGATTCATTTGCCTCTCATCCAAGCTGGTGCAGCTGGCTGTGAGCCACAGCCTCACATATTTAGACTTTTCTAGGAATGAATCAAGTATCAGACCCTGTGTTCCATAAGCGACAGATAACTGTTATTTTAGGTTGAGTTCCTTAAAACAAAGCTTGTGGTGGGGATTTGAGAACATTTAATTTATTGAAGAAGCCTCTCAGGAGAAAGAGAGTGAGAGAAACAGAGTAGTGTAAGAAAGGACATGATTTTAGCTGAAGTCTCATTTTGGACGTGGTTCCAAGAGGGTCTATGGAGCAGTAACAGAATTGGTCCCATGTAAAGCAAAGGAGCATGCATTTTGTATTAGTTATCATTGGTTGCAGGCAGCCTCATCCAGGAGCTGAGAATACAGTTAAGGGGATCTAGGCAGGAGGCTAACAGTGCCTACAACACTTGCCAAGCTTTTGTTAAGTTTCTCTCACTAGACTTGCAGCGATGGGAAAGCCCTCCCATCCTCTCTTCCCATGTGGAGGCGCTAAGAATACACAGCACACTTCTCTCCAAAGAAGTTTGTATTCTTTTTTTTTTTTTTTTAATTTTGTATTCTTGCTGTCTTGAATGTTCTAATGAATCTCTAGTCTTCTATTGGCTTAGCCTTGAGGTGGTTGATGAGTCAATACTGGTAGAATTCATTTCACACTCTCTTAGCATGGCCCAATTTGATATTTAAGCACGTTGACATGAGATCTGGAATACTTGGGACCTATTGTATTGTTGTTCTTGGCATTGGCTAAAACTCTAAAAAATAAACTCACATTTATCCTTCTCTTAACACTCCAACCACTAGGAAATGAAGATTGGGAAAATCTGCTACTCTTGGCATCAGAGTGGCAAAGGGAGGCATAGAGAATTGTCTATGGTCCAAGAAATTCGGATGTTTCCAGTAGATCTCCTCTGTTACATAAACCAGAAAACCTTGTGTTCCAATATTGATGTCTGCGTCCTTTTAGTATTTCTGGATTGATGTATAGCAGTTAATTTTGGTTGGAGTTAACTCAAATCATTCTGTAACAATTAAGAGTTTTCTTCTGAAAGCATTATCATTTCTTCGTACTTTCTATGGCAACTGAGCTGAATCTCCTTCTTTTCTCAGTGGGAAGTGACCCAATATAATGATCCTAGCACAGGCATAAACATAATTAGCACTGAGTAATCAACAAGCGCTACAAAATTTCTCTTCATCCTACCCCTGTCTTCTCTGAACAATCTCTGATCATAAAGCATAAGAAGTCTTGCTTAAAATTTTCTTTACAGTTGTTAATTAGGAATGACAAAGGACGCTTTTGCACCATGCAGCTCAGTAGCCCTCAGAAATCTAAGTGTCAGGAATAGCACTAGAATGGAATGAGTGATACCTCTGACCACGCCTGCTACAGAAGAGAGGGGCAGTGACCTTTTTGTGAGAGAGAAAGTCATTTGAGGCAATTTCCACTTTAAAGGCAGCTATTGAAGAATAATTTGCTGATGCATTTTTAACAGCATTAATCTATTTTCACGTTTTTTAGATTTTTGCAGTTGGCAGCCAATAAGTAATGCATTACAGAACCTTCCCAGTTTGTGGAACATATATATTAGTTTTTGATGAAAATATGACAGGCAGAAAGATTGCCTGAACACTGAACTCATTCGTAGTTGAGTAACCAGATCTCTCCAGAAAGGTAGCACATAATTTGTTGAACATATGGATAAACAAAAACAAACTTGCAACTAGAAGATGGATAAGTCCTGGAGATCTAATGTACAGCATAGTGATTATAGTCACCAATACTGTATTATATACTTCAAAGTTGCTAAGAGACTAGATCCTAAATATTCTCACCACAAAAAAGAAATGGTAACTATGTGACACGAGAAAGGTGTTAGCTAATGCCATGGTGATAAAATCACATTGCTACATAAACGTATCAAATCAACATGTTGTACACCTTAAACTAATACAATGTTATATGTCAATCATCTCAGTTAATATATATATAATGTGTGTGTGTATATATATATATATATATATATATACTCAAAACAGACTATTACTTAACTGAGATTTTCAAATTTATACATATTATTAGATTTACCAATAAAAATAAGATTTTCTTGAAAATTATTAACTTTTATATTTTCATTGTGTATTTTTATCAATTTTTAAGTGAGTGAAGAGCATAAACAATCTGGATTTGTAATCTCTCTGTAATCACACAAATATAAATCCTGGTTAGGAGAAAAATTGCTATCCTAAAAAGCTTTCTAAATAAGAACTAGCTGAGAGGAAAATGTTGCTACTCTCAAGTTTTCTTTCTATTCTATAAGACAAGGAAAGAGACATTTAGACAAATGATGCTTTTCAGAACATATAGAGAACTTATAGAAGCAGAATATTGGCAATGAAATATCATCTAATAAAGGAGAACTCTGAAGGAAAGCATAGAGAGCAACAGAGTAATCTTTTTGTGAGGATATTTAACTAAGGCTACATATTGTCTTCCAGTTAGTAGTAATAAAATAAATACGTCATTTGTCCTTTAAGGGGAAGAATCTTGTTGATAGGGGCATTGAGTCATACAGGAGCTAAGGAGGGTTTCCAATTAAAACTTCATTATAATAAATGAATTATGTCATACAAGTTAAAAACTACCTTTGCCAAAACTTAGACTTAATTTTTAGACTCTTTATAGATCCTTGGAAGGACCTTGAGTATATGTTTCAAATCTTTGAATTAGCATTGAGACTGAGCATCAAGACTGAGACACCACAGAGTGCTGTGGTGATTGAAGTAAAGATAAAGATTCGTGTAATCTTTCTAACTTTCATTGACTCTTCAGTAGACAAGATAAAATCCAGCATTTTTCAAAACCAGATCTCAGTTAACAGGCCCAGCAAGGAACAAGGAGTGATAAGAAGAAATTTAGAATATTTGGGTCAACCATTTGTATTTATGTTTTCTGGAGGAGGAGGATGACCCCTAGATGATAAAAATGACTGATAATTCCTAGTACACAGCAAGTTTGCAAGGGGCTATGAGAGGCTATGGGTGGGGGTAGCAGAGTGGAAGAGAGCAGTGTGGCAACAAGCCACAAATAATAACTGCTAGGAATTTCTTCTTGATCAGGAGCACAAGGAGTAACAGGTACAGCAAAATAGCCACTTACCCAGCAGTTTACAGGGGGCGTGCTCATGGTGAGGGGCGAAGGAGAGTGGACCAATCTGGGATGTAAGACCTTGAAAGATACTAATCCCATCACTTGTAGAGATGGCTGTATTTGTCTTTCTTCTTGAGTTTAGGACAAATTATCTTTTCTCTAAAAATAATCGATCTCTTTGCTAGAGAGGAAGGGAAAGAAATTGAGCAAATTATTAAACAAGATGAGGACCTCAAGGAAGGATAAAAATGAAGGAGGTCATACCAGAAACAACAACAATAATTGCTTGGGAGCAAAAGAAAATTAGAACCAGTAAGAGAACATGACATGTGACAAAGAGAAGGAACTACATGCTACTGGAGATTTAAATAACACAAGAGACCTCTATCCTGACCTTTGCGTGTCAGATTTGATCTTCTGAGGAAAACTCACAAGTCAAAAAGAATGATTCACAGGAGGAATTCTGGGCCTAGTGTTTGGAGTAATATACATGTGGTGATGGTCAATGTGATACATGTTTCGTGCCCAAGGAAAGTCTTAGGTTCTAACCAGAGATGCAGGGTCTTCCTAGAGCAGCACGATCCAAAAGAAATTTACTGTGGGACACATATACAATTTAAAATTTTCCAATAGCCACATTAAAAAGAGGCAGGTAAGGGGCCAGCCCAGTGGTGTAGCAACTAAGCGTGCATGCTCTGCTGCGGCTGTGCGGGGTTCGGATCCTGGGCGCGCACCAACACACCACTTGTCAGGCCACGCTGTGGCGGCGTCCCATATAAAGTTGAGGAAGATGGGCATGGATGTTAGCCCAAGGCCAGTCTTCCTCAGCAAAAAAAGAGGAGGATTGGCATGGGATGTTAGCTCAAGGCTAATCTTCATCACAAAAAAAAAAAAAAGAAGAAGAAGAAGCAGGTAAAACTAATTTTAATAATATATTTTATTTAACCTAATCTATCCAAAGTAATCTCATTTCAATATATATTCAGTATAAAAATTATTAAAGAGATATTTTAAATTCTTTTTTACATACTAAATCTTTGAAACCTGGTGTGTATTTTACAATTTTGGTACATATCAGTTGGGACAAGTCACCTTTAAGTGTTCAAGAGCCACATGTGGCCAACGGCTACCATATTGGACAGTTCATTCCTAGAGTGTGAATCCAAAATATGGTGGTAAGCCAAACAAGGCTTGTCAGGCTGGATAATAACTTTCTAACTCTTAACTTCTTGATCCCATCTCATTCTTCCTTCTCAACAACCTCTCGCAATCAAATATTTGCTCTCTCACATTTATATACAACCATTTCCCCTCTGCTGGCTCTTCTTCTTTGGGCTAGAAATAGAAAAGTACTCAATGCAAAGTACAATGTAAAAGTACTTAAATGCGAAGCAAACACTTACAATTCTTCATTCCCCTCTCTTTGAGTCAATACAACCAGCTTTCCTCTGGGTGATATATACTCATTCTTTCCATTTTCCTGTACCTCACTCACTTCTCAAGCCTGAGCTGGGGCATTGCACAAGCCCAGTGTCTTTGTTTCCAGAAAATACAATGGAAGAGGTTCTCCTGTTGGTCGTTTCTCAAGCCATTGAAATTTTCCTTCTGTTTCCGACAACTCCACAGAACCTGCTTTCACCACAATAACAACTTGATCCTTTATTACACAGTGCAATGGCACATTTTAGTACTTTCCTGCCCTAATCACTCAGCAATATCTACCCTCATCTCTGGGTTTCCCTAACATCAACATCACTTGGTTTGTCCTTCCTCTCGTGTTGCTTCTTCTTGGTCTCTTTTCAAGCTTACATTTTTGGACCCATCCTTTACATGCTAGTGTTTCTCAGGGTCTGTACTTCTCTCTCTTCTATTCTCACATTAAAAACTTTTATGAGCTCTTTTACTCATTCTCATGTCATCAGCCAGGACCTATTCTTCCAAATCTGCATTTTTACCCCAGATCTCAATTCCTGGACCACAAACCATATAACCAGCTTCTTAATTTACATATCTGCTTAGATATGCCTTGGGGATTTCAAATTCAACATGTCTAAAAGATAATCTATTTTCTTCATCAGGAATACTCCTGAATTCCCTGTCTAATCAAGAGCATGCCCGCCTACTCAGTCACTAGAATCAGTCACTCACCGCCATTATTCATTCTTCCAGCTCCTATAACTCCACAGTTGCTCAGCCTCAGTAAGCTGTTATTTTACTGACTTTATATTTCTTGAAACAGTGCCTGCCTTTCTATTTTCCTTGCTGCTACATTATTTAAACCATTGTCAAAGAGATACCATGGAAGAAGCATCTGGTTTTGAAACAACCTTCCTACCCTTCCTGAACATTGGTTCCTTCATATCATACATTTGAAAAATTTGTAAGATAATACATAACGGACACCTGATATTCAACTGTTAATAATCCCTCAAAGGGCTCCCTAGTCTTCACAATAAATACAATACCATAGCGTGGCCAAGAAAGACTTTTATGATCTGGTCCCCAGTTTCAAAACTTTCATTTTAAAATCTTCTCTCTGTGAATACAGGCCAACTTGTTTTCTCTAGAGGTACCTGTGTGTCTTTACTCATCTTGCTCCATTTTGAACATGTTCTACTGCAGTAATTCCTACCTGATGGCTGCCTAATCATTTTTATCTATTCCCAGATTTTGCTGAGATATGAACTCCTACAAGATTCTTTCCTTTGACACCAGTCACCCCCTCAGTCTTTACACATTTAACCATAGCATTGAGTTAATAGAATTATAATTGTATGTTCAGTTATTCACTTCAGAGGCCTTATCTTAGTGGTTACCAAGCCTCTCCAATGTAACAGACACAAGAATATAAGAATGAATAAATGAATGAATGAATGACTTGATGGATATTCTGTGTATGACACTGAAGACTTTGGGAATACAATTGGAAAATCATGGCATTGAAAGTGAGGAATGCATGACAAGGAAACAGATGGTTATGCTGATGACATGAAAAGATGGGATTTTGGTTTCTAAACCAAGATATATTATAGTACAATGACGGACAGACTCTTGGTGAGAATCTAAGAGGTCTTTTGGAGAATTGGAGGTACATACTTGACAAGTACTCATAAAAAGTAGTTCAAACTAAAATTTAAAGAAAAGAGAAAAACTGACTCAGGAAAAATTGAGAGAACATGGAAAACCAACAGACTAATTGCCATCGTTGGAAAAGCTATGTAATAATTATCTGGAGAAAATAATAGGGATTATGTTACTTACATGCAGTTATATGCCGAGAAATAGATATGATAAATTACTTAAGCTTGAAATTAATTCCTGGTAATTCCTGTTATGACTGTAGTCACTCATCAAATTAGACTAGACCTAGGGATTTCTACTAAAGCAAGAGGGTTGGTATAGCAGATAATCTGAAAACATAATTCTCCAGATGTGAAAAATACAGATTTATAAGTATCAATAAAATATCAAAATATCCCACTCACACTATATAAAAAATTTACAGCTGAAAGGAGGAGATGGACATAAAGAGCAGAAATGTTGTTGAGCCTCCTGAAGAAGTTGAGGAATCCAGACATAGGGACTTCTATCCCTCTTTTTTGGGTGAGTCCAGGAAAGTAGCAAGATTCCAAAGTTTTCCCATTGGCTGCATGGTTCAAGGGTGAAAGACATACTTGAGAGTCTAAGCAAATGGACTTAGGTCAGAATCTTAGAGGACTGGTTTTATGAGCAGGACTGATGGAAGATTGAAATATTTTCTTCTGCCAGAGTGGAGATGCCCCAGGGATCTAGGGGACTTGAAGGCCACTTGCAGTTGAGGTGAAGAGGATGTAGCATTGATATTCCTTAACCAAAGGCACTGCAGGAGTAAAAATGTCTCATTGGGCATCAGTGTGGCAGTGGCAGGTGGCCACACAGGACCAAGTGTTCCCCAACCCCCAGAGCCTCCACAATACTTATCCCCTCAGGACGTAAGGAAATTGGTGAGGATGCTGAATTGATTCAGTTAGTTTCTGCCACTTGGCAGAAAGGGATTTTGTGATAGAAATTTAGTGCAGCTAAAGAAAAATAAAGGAAGTTACATTTCTTGCCCACCAGAGTTAGATACAACACGCTTAAGAGGAATGGATAAAAAAAGGAAAAAGAAAAAAACCATAGCAAAATAGAGCCTGAAAAAGAAAAGATTCAAAGAGACATGATGATTGTCTTCAAATATTGGAGGAACTTCAATTTCTTCTGGGTGTAATGTCTTCTGGGTGTAGTTTCAGGAAACAAATGTAATTTCCAGTAAGTACAAATTATAGAGTGAGAGATTCTTGGTAAATTAAAAAAAAAAAAAAAGTTTTACCAATGAGAGTCATTTTTGCTGAGGAAGATTTGCCCTGAGCTAACATCCGTGCCAATCTTCCTCTGTTTTTCAGTTATGTGGGCCGCCAGCACAGCATAGCCACTAACTGAGCAGTGTAGGTCCAGGCCCAGAAACCAAACCTGGGCTGCTGAGGTGGAGCTCACTGCACTTAACCAGTAGGCCCCTGGGGCTGGCTCCCAATGAGAGTCTTTTAACAATGGAATGCATGCTGTATTGATGTACTACGCTCTGCCATTGGGGCCTAGAAAAGAACCAATACAAAGTGCTACAGAAGCAGTCTGCAATTTGATAAGACAACAGTCCATGCTTTCTAATATCCTATGATGGTGGCATAAATTTTCAAGTATATCAGAGCTTCAGCACATGAAGGAGACAGTTATTCTGAATGGGAAGCTAAAAGGGTGCCAAAATAGCAATAGTTTTAACCTGTGTCTTAACAAAATTTAAATCAGAAAAGGACTTGCGAAAGTATATGGAAACACTTATAAGCTTAGCAATTTTTTTTTTTGAACAGTTGTGCCTTTTATGCTTTGTTGAAGCATTTATCCAACTTGGAGACTAATCAGTGATAAGATGCTGCCAAGGACAATGCTGGTTCTGTCACACATCTACGGTACTAAGATTTGAACTTATGTGAATGCATTCTTGTGGGGAAATTAATGACAAGAGGAATTCAGTGTTCACATTGGAAGAAAGTCTTGTGAAAAAAACAATTGTCTTTCTTGCCAGGCTTTTCCAACTGTGACACTGAGGTGACAGAGTTGTAACTGGAAATAATTGTTTTGCATCTTATCAGGTCTTGACAATGGATGATTAAACACCTAGCTAATCTCAAGTTATTTAATGAGAGTTTCTATGTGATTTTTTTCATTTAAAAGTTGTGAGTTCAGTAATTGCAGCAATCATTTTGTGGGATATCCGACAGAAAATGTTTTAAAACCACTGAGATAGTCACAAGTAACATTTAATTATTCATAACTTTGTGTCTCTAGGCATTCTCTTAACCACTATCCTTATGAACACTGGCTTGGGTGATCATCAAAATGATTATTTCTATTGTATTGGATGACAGGCGCCATTAATTGAAAACTGTTTAGGTAGAACAGCATCAATATTATATTGACCATTAGGAAACCTAACATATTTAATTAAAATAACTCATAACAAAAACACAAACTAACAAGTATAAATAGGGATAAAGATGCTAACACTCTTCATTTACCATATTTTAGTTTATTAAAATTTCTGACCACAATGTTGATTTTTTATATCTAACTTACTTTGGTAGATGAAAATAAGATGTAATGAAAAAGAATTTTAATCACTGGTGGAGGCTTTTAGTCAGTCATTTGCAGAATTTAACACTAGGACTCAGACCCTCAAGCCTAGTACAGTTGATGCAGTTACATTTAAAGTGACATCAATAATGTCTTATAAATTTGGCTGTATTTGATCTTTTATATTAAATGATTCTTAAGCCACACACCATTCATAGACACCCAACATTGCTGATGACTGCAAACGGAAATAACACAGTAGCTACAGTAATTTCAGAAAGCTGGGTCTTTCCATACATTTTTCTTGTACCTTGTTGTGCCCTTCACTGTGCTAAACAAGACACTCTGCTAATGATACCTAGTATACACTGAGTTCATATGCTAATTCAAATACTATTTTAAGTGTTTTAGATATATTCTCATTTGATCCACACAACATATGATATAGGTACTCTTTTATTCCCATTTTACCATGTGAAAACCAAGGATCAGAGAAGTTAAGTAACTTGTCTAGGTTATCTAATAAGTAGAGGATCTAGTTTCTAACTAGGACTTTGAAGCTCACACAGGTCACCACTAATCTATGCTGACTCTTGAAGGCTGAAGCATACGTGGTCCTTGCCCTTTTTTGTGTGTGTGTGTGTGAGGAAGATCAGCCCTGGGCTAACATCCGATGCCAATCCTCCTTTTTTTTTTTTTTTTTTTTTTTGCTGAGGAAGATCGGCCCTGAGCTAACATCCATGCCCATCTTCCTCTACTTTATATGAGATGCTGCCACAGCACGGCTTGACTAGCCGAACATCGGTGTGTGCCTGGGATCCTAACCCGTGAACCGCGAGCCTCTGAAGCAGAGCGCGTGCACTTAAACGCTTGTGCCACCGGGCGGGCCCATGGTCCTTGCACTTTTAAAAAGATGCTGAAATAAGACTTTCCCTTTTATTTCATTTTTCATTGAATTCCCAAAGCTGTGAATATTCCGAACATTCTAGAAAGAAACATCACACTATCCTTAGAGAATTTGTTAAGTGGTAATCACTAAAAATCAGGTTAATGACCTTTAAGCTACCACTGACTTTGAAGGTATATAAAGAAAGACTTGAATATTGATTAGGAAAATGAGGATTTCTTTAGAAATAAGAGTACTTTTAGAGTGTAGTGTCTTTCCCTTTCCTACTTCATACTACAGTGAGGTTACTTCTCTCAATTTAATCCAAAGATCTCAATTAGTTTTTTGCCACATAACCACTGCACAATTTAGTGGCTTAAAACAAGAACCATTGATTTAGCTCATAATTTTGTGGTTCAACTATTGGGGCTGCACTTAGCTAGGCAGTCTCCTGGTCTTGGCTGGACTCATGCTCCTGTGTTCAGCTGGGTGGTCAGACGGGAGATGGCTGATCTAGTGAGACTTCAGCTGAGATGACTCATCTGGATTCCCTGTGACCTTTCATCTTCCAGCAGGTTACCCCATGCTTGTTTACATGGCAGGGGTGATGGGGTCACAAGTGGCAGAGTAGAAATGTGTAAGGTCTTTTGGGTCCTAGCCTTGGGACTGGCCCAGCATTACTTTTGCCAGCCCAGATTAAGTCCATAATCTAGGTTGGGGACGAGGACGCCACCCTTTGATGGGAGGAGCCACAAAGTCAAGTTGCAAGGATGGAGATACAGGAATAAGTGGAGAATTTGGGCCATTTTTGAATTCTACCAGGCTAAGTGAAGCATACTCTGAGAGAGCTACATGAAGAGTTTGGCCTGTATCTTTTGAAGTGTTGAAAATTCAGAGCCTGGCACATGACTCAGAGATGAAAAGACTAAAATCAAGGCTAAGGGAAGAGAAAGAGAAATGACTACAGAGAGAGAAAGCTGTACTATCTTTCGTGTGGGGACAAACAGTGATGTTTCCTGTGGGACTTGTGTAAACCCTGCAGAGTTACACTGAGCTGTATTGCAAGGTCTCTATCTAATAAGATCTCCTTCAGGCAAGTCTCTTGTGGAGTGGATTGCTGGCAAATAGGAGCAGAAGGGAAAATATAAGTAGCCAGATGGCAGAGATTTTTGGCCTACTAGAAAACTATAGTCAGAGGAACCTAACAGCTGGATCTTGGAAGAACAATCAAAAAAAATTTTTTTTTAATCCCCAATAAAGAATATCAGCATTGATAGCTGTAACCCACGGAGCATAGCACACCAGACTGCAACTCCAGAAGTCAAGTAAGATTTTTCTGATGCCATGTGTCTTTTCTCCTTTAGCTTCAACACTGGAGGATCTGAAGCAGCAAAATGGTTACTTTAGAATGTAATGTCAGGACATTGTTAAGCAAATAGCTTACAGTGCTTCCTGTGAAATAGTGAAGGAGGAGGGCATTTCTGTATTCCAGGACTTCTAGGGGTTTCAGAATCGGTTTTTCTTTCTTTCTTTTTTTTTTTTTTTTTTTTTGGTAGTTTTTATTTATTCCATCAGTCTTTTTAACAAATGTTTATTATTGCATTTTTTTCCACTGTATCATTTTTGTGTGTGTGTGTGTGTGTGTGTGAGAAAGATGGGCCCTGAGCTAACATCTGTGTGAATCTTCCTCTGTTTTGTATGTGGGACGCCTCCATAGCATGGCTTGATGAGTAGTGTGTATGTCCGTGCCTGGGATCCAAACGTATGAACCACAGGTGGCCGAAGCAGAGCATGAGAACTTAATCACTACACCACCAGGCCAGCCCCCCAGGGTATCATTGTTTTACTGCCCTTGTAGCACTGGAATTTAGTTGAAAGAATAATTCAACTATTGACGTATTGGGGATGTTCAACTATTCAACGTATTGGGGATGAAGAAGAGAATAGAAGAGCAAGGGTAAGGATTGAAGAAGCCAGCAACGTCAATGAGCAGCTATATGACATCGTGCATCCAGAATATGACCATTTCTTACCACCTCCACCACCACTGCCCTAGTCCATCAATTCTTATGGATTATTGCATTAACCTACTCCCTGCTTCTATCCTTGCCCGCTACAGCCTATTCTCAACACAGTGAAAGTGATTCTTTTCAAAATTAAGTCCAACTATGTATTCCTCTGTTCAGATCTCCTTTCTGTTATACTAAAAATCAAAGCCATTCAATGACCTACAGGCCTTTGGTAGGCAGACATGAGCAGACACGTCTTCATGAGCAGACATGAAGATGTGCTGCTCAGATCTCTCTTCGAAAAAGAATTTGACGTCCAGCTGCTAAGAGTACAGTAAGCTGATAGCTTCCAGCTGCAGCACTGCAGTATCTGCTGCAGCATTTGAGGCCACAACCTTCCTAGGCAGTTCCTGGCCAATGACTTAAGCATAATGGGGGTAATAGACCTGCCTATTTCTGCCAAATACACGACTCCTCTTATGGGCAGTCTTTGCTCTGAACCATTGATTTGACTGAGACAGTGTCAAATATGAATCACAGTTAAGGTAGTGCCTACCCAATTCTGTCTCTTTTCCTCTTGCCTTTCACAAATATGAGATTTGCATTGCTGTCCAAAGGTTTCCCTCTAACCAATTCTGCCCCCTCCTTCCTTTTCCATTCATAGGACTTTGCCCCCAATAAACTTCTTGAATTCCTAACTATCTCAGCATCTGCTCACTGCAGGACCCAAGCTGACTTGATAGAGCCCTTTGTATTTCTATGACCTTATCTCTTCTTCTCTCCACTTCACTCACGCTGCCTTCCCTCACTGGCCTCTTCACCATGCCTTGAATGTGCCAGGCCCACTCTCTGCCCCTCTGCCTAGAGTGCTCTCACCCCAGATAGTAGCATGGCTAGCTCCTCAACGTTATTCAAGATTTTTATCAAATATCAATTTCTCCACGAGGCTTACCAAGACCACCCTATTTAATCCTACAACCTGATTATCCTTAGTACTTATGCTCTCTCTTACTCTGCTCAGCCTTTTCTGTTTTCCATGGCACATAAGCTGAATGTAAACTCCTCATGAGCAGGATCTCTGTTTGGATCACTGAAATATCTCCAACACTTAGTATGTACCTGCCATGTAACTAGTTTTTTGTGTTAAATTCCCTCTTCTGTGCTATAGCTGTGGCCTTCCTATTCAAGGCAGGCCCAAAATGGAAAAGGGAAAAGCTTTAAACAGAATAAAAGATAGAAACTTTGATGATAGAGTGTAATGGATTTTTAATATCTGGAATTGAGACCAAATTTACCTAAATGTGACAGGAAAGACTGTGCAATCATGAAGGTATTGTCAGGGATGAATGAGAGAGAATCAACAGGACAGTGATTGGAGGGGAGAGAAAGTCACTTTCTGCTTGTACCCTGCTGAGTCCGGTTAACCCAATAAATCATGTTGTACACAGAGCGATTACATTCTAATGCAGGTCTGTGCTACACCAAGGAAATAAAGCAAAAAAAACTACAGAGTCAGCAGATTCGGATTCAAGTCTTGTCAGAGATGACTAGCTGGTCAACTTAAATTGATTCACTTTCTCTCTGACACTCAGATTTCTCTTCTACAAAATGGGGATGTTATACTCAATTCACAGGGGTTTTGTGTGACTCAAATTAGGTAAATGTAAAAATGATCTGGAAACTATAAAAGTTGCTATGTGGTTATAATTTGAATCCAGAAAGAAGTCCTGATGTTTTCATGATCGTTCCCAAATAAACATTTTTGGCTGATTCACATCCAGAGCATGACAATTTATTAACAATTCCTACAAGGATATAAGAAAAGGGAAAGAGAAAGAAATAGGAATAGTTGCCTTTATTTGAAGTCTATTTTCCTTCCGTATCATCTTCCCCATTCCTTGCAAGTGACTCCTGTCTATCTTAAAGACAACAATGGAAAATGAAGAGGAAAAGATAAACTTACTCTCTTAGAAGTATGACAGTGAATCAACTCAAAACCCTGCCTATTCATTCAAGCAAAACTATTGAAGAGCACAACATTTACTTTTTTCAAAAGGGAACGAGTTAAAAGACAAATTGATTAGTGATGTGTTATTTGGAAGACAATAATAAGGAAGATGAGTTTTCCAAAAGACACAATTTATCACCACTACTTAAAGATGTTTTAATTAAAAGGTAAACTCCAAATTAAGGTCTGACCTGTATAGGTTAAGACAGTGATGATGATCTGAAGAGGAACAGACACTTTGATATGATTGAAGGGTGGCTATAACTCTTTGTTCCTACTCACACTTTGAATATTGGAGAGTTCTGAGTTAATAATAAAGTAGTATGAAAAAGGACATAGTAAAAAGAAATGTCTATGTCGGTTTGCAGCAAGTTTTTTTTTGGCTCTTCTGTTACATTAGTAATCATCTTGAAGGGTGTTTAAATCATGTTCATAGCTAAACACAATTTTATACTCATTATAAAACAGACACACTATTTCACACATGAATTCTTTTGATTGTTTGATATTTTACTAATATTATATCCCTAAACCCAAGTCTAAACAGTGAAATGGCAAAGAGATGGAAAGAAAAAAAAAATTGTTCATTGATTTCAGCCGATTCAGGTAGCCAACATCTATGTGTTTCTTTTCCTTAATTAACCAGCTCTTAATGGACACAACTAATACAAGTTTACATAAATAACCAGCTGTGATGAATCATGTGACTTATCCTGCACCGAGCTACTTTTAAACCAACAGACCATGCATTAGTAACATTAACACAACAGTGGACCAGTCTAACAGCACATTTACCAGTGCTGGAAAACAACTGAACTGTTAGGAATGCCAAAATGTTCTGAGTTAGATCAAATTCCTTGAGCACACTATTTACAATAGCTTATTTGAACAAAACAAACAATATCAAGGAGCCACAAGTACCAACCCTAATGAGGACAAACAACAAAAAGTCGTGAAATATTCAATATATGTTTTAGAGGAGTTTTGACGAGTAAAGTGTATATGTTTAATGATAGCAATCAATTTTTCTCCCCAGAAAAAACAGAATTTATAGCCTTCAATAGTCCTGCTTGAACGATCCTGTGCTGAAGCACATTGATTTGATTCATTCTCATAGTCCTAAGAGCAAGTGAGGGAAATTTCGTTATAGCATGCAGCAAAGTTCTCAGTACTCACTCTCTGAGGTTTATCTCAAGTCTCCCTCCATCCAAAAGTCATTCTTATTCATTCCAGCCTATTGGTGAGCTACTAGTATATAGTAGACATGACTTTTCACTTTCAGATAAATGAATAGTGAGATAAATTACTTGCCTCCAAAGAATTTATGCAACTGGGGCCTCAACTATCTTGTGGAGTGTAAGGACATGGAACTTTGAAAGGGCATCTAACTTTGCAGTGAAGAGAACAGGTCAGGGAAGACAGCCATGAGGAAACGACAGTAGCGATGTATAATCATGAACAAGAGTAAGGTGGGCAGCAGCAGGCTGAGAGCAGGGTGGAAGGAAATGGATGAAGGGAAGGAAGTGATCTTCATTATGCTCCACTCTGCTCGATTTAGAGCTCTCCCTTCTCTGGATTTCTGCTGTTTCCCTCAAACTCACACAAACAGTTGTAGCTTCACAGTGTTATAAAATTGTTCCATGCTCTTTTGCAAACCATGTCGTCAATTCTCTATTTCTCCTTCACTCTATCCCAGTGCCCAGAATAAAGCTGTTCAGAGGGACTGTTCTCAATAATCAATGTGGTAAATAAAAACAGAAATTTCAGAATAGGAGTTTTTTAAAGATCTTATAATATCACCTTCAAATGACCATTATAAAGATACATTTAATCTACGTCTTTGCACAGACTTATCCCAGTAGATATTTGACCGAGTTCTCCATCTCCCTTCCTTTCTTGTTGTCACTACAACAAGTGGATTTTGTGGATACTGACAGAACTGAGTCCTTGATGATAATTTCTTAAATAAAGTTTAACAGAGGTCATTGCTAAACTGCCTTTCCTGCCTCCTTGAGCATGGAAAGAACAACATGGCTTAAAGATGAAATTGACCATTTTTCACCCCAAAATTGTTCTGTCATTCCATATTGAATGCAATAATTCTATTTTATAAAAAGTTATTTATAGGAGCCTTTAAGAGAAAATGTGCTGCCAAGGTATGCTGGTATTGATCTTTTTTTTTCTGGCATAAATGCTGAAACTGGAAAGTAGATACAAAAAATAGACATATCAGGGGCTGGCCTGGTAGCATAGTGGTTAAGCTCATGCACTTCGCTTCGGCGGCCCAGGGTTCACGGGTTCAGATCCCAGGCACAGACCTACGCACCACTCATCAAGCCGTGCTGTGGTGGCGTCCCATATACAAAGTGGAGGAAGATAGGCACAGATGTTAACTCAGGGCTAATCTTCCTCAGCAGAAAAGAGGAGGATTGCCAATAGATATCAGCTTAGAGCCAGTCTTCCTCATGGAAAAAAAAAAAAGATACATCTTCAGATTTGATTTTTGACTTTTTTTCAGAATCTCTGTCTGACATTCAGCCTTTTTCAA